AGATAGTATTCAAAACAGAGCAGCAGTCGTTGACATTTTTTAGAGAAGTCAAAGAATTCCAGTTGTAGTTCGATAAGAAATTGTTGATGTTGTTTATAGATTCTTCAGTTAGGTTTCTGAAGTGCTTTATAGGGGCATGGTTTGAGATTTCTGATTTGGAAGTGATGGCGAATAAAGGGAAATGGTCAGATATGTCAGACAGAATTATTCCAGATAAGTGAGAAGTTAGATTGTTAGTAAAGATATTGTCGATGAGTGAGCAAGAAGAAGTTGAGATGCGAGTAGAGGAGGTTATAAGAGGTAAGAAGTTGTATGATGATAGTAGGTTAGAGAAGTCAGCAACGACGTTGTCACTGTTGAGTTTATTGAGGTCAAGGTTAAAGTCGCCAATTAAATAGCTCTTTATGTGTGGCTTGAATGTGGGTAAAATAAGTTCGAGCTTTTGGATTAAGATATTAGGGTCAGTGTTGGGGGGTCTATATACTGCTAAAATATTTACGTGTGTGTTGTTTAATTTTAAATTGACACCAAGAAGGTCAATAACGGTGTCGTTCAGAAGCAAATTGTTTATCATAGAAAATTCAATGCCTGATCTGATGAAGATTCCGACTCCACCACCTAGTCTGTCAGACCTATTTTTAAAAACAAAATTGTAATCATTCATACGAACTAGTTTAGCGTTTCGTCATTCAGCCATGTCTCTGAAATAATAATAATGGGAAAAAAATAAGATAAAAATTTATTTAAAATTAAAATGTCAGAAATTTTATTTAAAAGACTTCTGCTGTTTATGTGAAGTAGAGGTAGAGGGTGATCATGATTGTTGATGTACTTGGCTTCTAGAATGTTGAGTAGATCTCTTGTGGTGTAGTAGGATGACTGTCTGGTGAATGAATCTAGGAGGTTCTTTGTGGGGTCGATGTGGGTGTTGTATGCGTTAAAGTGTTGATCATCTTCGTCGTTGTTTGATGGTTGAGGATGTTGTTGGATAGAATTGATTGTGGAATAAGTATTGTTAACAGCCATTGTCGTGATTTATTGATGTCGCAGAATTGACATCGGAGGGAGGACTCATCATCGATGAGGCTTGTTGTTGTTTATGTGGTTCAACCAGCTGAGAAGGGCCCATCGTGACTGGCTCGACTGGCTGAGTGGATTCTTCCGAAGAAGTTAAAATGGAAGCTACCTCAACTGTGTTTTCTACATGCTGATGTGAGTTGACCAGCGATGGTGTATTAACATTTGGTAGGTCGACAGGATAATGATTTGGTAGTGAAGTTGTAGTGGGTTTTATCAAATGCTGTGGTCGAGCATGAAACAACCAGGGGTGAATTTCAACGCCGATAGGCCAATTTTCAGGATTGGTAAAAATCATTTCCTGATGTTTAAAAATAGTTATGCGGAATTTTGTTGATGGATCACTGGTTGAAAGATGAGGACGAGTGGGAGAGAATTTAAAGACTGGTACACATTCTGCAGCGGTCAGTCCAATAGTTTCCAGATGTTCAAGGATCTCTTCTTTGACGCAGCTTTTCAATTTACCTACACCAAAAACAATTTTTTTGGGAGGCAAAGGAGCTGCAGATAATTTGAAGGACCCAGGTTGTTTGGAACCTCCAGTAATTGGAGTGTATTTTCTCTTTTTTTTTTGAAGTAACAGTGCTCCAAGAGCCTTCGTGGCCACTGGAATTAGAGTTGTTTTTATTGATGTTATTGTTAGGAGTTGAAAGTGAAGAATG